TCATTATGGATAGCGCTATTAGGAACTGACAACTCCTTACTCGCCCTATTGCTGGAGTGCATGATACCATATTCATCTATGGAACGATAAGCATAGATCTTGATAGGGCTTCAGTCATAGGTTTGGTTGAGACTCATTGTTTGCTCATACACATACAAACTCGTTTCTCTTTATAGCAATAAACTTGTATCAATTATAGCAATCAAATTTGTTTCTCATTAAAGCAATGTACTTGTATTTACGAAAAGCCTTATTTCAAGCTCGATTTTATAAACTTGTGAACTCACCAATTATCTTCATAGTTGACGCTCGTTTTACATGCTTTTTCAGGAAATAATTAGTAAGTGGATATAAAGATTCCTCATCATAGAGCATGCTGCATCGTGTTGAAGTTATTTATGAAGTTATATTTTGAATAATGTTATTTTGGAAAAACTTGTACTTGTTTCTTTTAAGCTATGGGTTGTAAACTTTTGAATATTGCTATGGTGATGTATCTTTATCTTTTGCAGTGAAACCATTATCGCATATCTTGCATTTCCGCTTTAGCGGGGTGTGACAGAAGTGGTATCAGAGCTAAAGTTATAGAGAACATCAGTTTTTCTTTAAGAAAACACAACCTATAACCAAAACTTATAAAGAAATTCTTTTTACATCAAACATATTACTAGTATAATTAGGTCGGGAGTTGTATCGTTGCACCTCAATTAAACATAGCCTGATCACCTATGTTTAATTAAGGGAAGATTTATACAAAGCTTGAGCTAATTATAATGGGAATAGGTTCAACAAAAATATTTGAGAAAACTTTATTTCAAAATTTCAAAAGGTTAATTTTGGTGTGTGTAAGCATTGCATCTTATAGGCATGCATTGTCATTTATTTCATATCTCATTGAAACTATGTCTCAGTCCACTATGTCAACATCGTCATCTTCCCGCGCTACCGCCTCAGCCGATGAGTCCGGCTACGTCACTATTATCCCTCGATGTAATCCCCCCGCCTCGGTAGAAGAAGACCCATCAGAGGAAACGGAAGATATAGGAAACTCGGTGGAGATCAGCAACGACAACGCCCTGAGTCAACGACACGAGGCATCCCCTGCATCGGTGTTCCCACAACCACCACTTTATGGGCTTCGCATTCGGAGGACGACGAGGAATAGTGTTCCCATTCTAGGAAGGATAGCCACCAGCACAGCAAGACTTGGCATGGCAGGACCTAGCGGGGTAGGACCCAGCGTTGCAGGACCGAGAGCACCCCCACCACAACGAGTCATAGGGATACCTGTCATGCAGCCAGGTTTGACCCCGGAGGAGTCCCGAAGGATGCATTCGATGGCAGCGGACCTACGTCACAGCCTCGCTGTGATAGCCGGGCATTAGGAGGTATTGAACGAAGTGATGATAGGGATGGAAATCCTGTTTCAACATTCGATGGAGGCTGCTGACACTGCTAGTACTGCTAGACGAGAGGCAGGTCATGCGATGACGACATATTATGTACTTGGAGGGCTATTACTGATTGTGGTGTTGATGTTTCTTATTGGGATAGCGATTAGTATCTGGTTTTGATTTCAGTATTTTATTTTATTTTGTCATGAAACGAAAACCCATGTTGGGTGTCTTTTAGGGAAAAACATTTAAAATTTTATTTTGGGAATTCATATATTGTTTTGGTTTTAAGACTATTTCAAATGGTGATGAGAAATTTATTTTATTTTTGAAAACTTTTACTATGAGGTCAAACCCTATAATTTACTTAGTCAATGGTCGAATAAGAAGAATTTTCTTTTATTTCCTTTCTAAAATCTATATGCCTAGCATTGATGCAAACCATTAATTTGACAACACTTACGGTTTTCAAAATAATAGTGAACTAAATATTATACATTATTTTATGTATTTATACGTATTTCTACTCTTGTGTCTTAGAACCATGTTAGGAAGGCCTAATCGTGGGTGCCCACAGAACGAAACACCCGATGTTGCTCAAGTTGTAGCACAACAACTCATGGAAGCAATCCCAAACATTGTTACTCAAGTAACTGTGGGACTTAATGCTAACCAAGGAAGTAGTGGAGGAAACTGGGGAAACAACGAAAGAGAATGCAACTACAAGTCCTTTATGGCTTGTAAACCTAAGGAGTTCCACGGAAAGGAAGGTGCGGTCGGGTTACTAAAATGGATTGACAACACGGAGTCGCTCCTTCACATTCGCAAATGCCTCGAGCGCAACAAAGTTGAGTATGCAACTTGCCTACTCCAAGATAGGGCATTGACCTGGTGGAATACTCTAGTGCAAACCCGAGGCCGTGCAGCGGCATATCAGCTACCTTGGGAAGGCCTAAAGAAGTTGTTTATAGAGGAGTATTGTCCCAAGGATGAACTTCAGAAGCTTGAATCTGAATTCTGGAACTATTCTATGGTTGGAACACAGATAGAGAAGTACACAGTCTGATTTCATGAACTAGCAAAACTGGTACCTCACATGGTTACTCCTGAGGAGAAACGGATAGATCATTACATCTGGCGTCTGGCACCAGAGATTCGCGGAATGGTTACTTCAGCAAATCCAACTACTATTCAGAGTGCATTAAGTCTAGCAAATCGACTAACCAATGATGTGATAAGGATGGGAGCATCGACAAAGGAAAACGTTGGTAGCAAGAGGAAGCCAGCTGATCAGGGAGAGAAGAAGTATGGAGGCAAGTCAGGGAGGAAGCAGAAAGCCTCAAGAAACTTTATGGTAAGAGCGCAGGAGCAAGAACCAAAGAAAACTCAGGAATAGGAAGTCATGGAAGTGCAGGAGCAAAATCAGTACTCAGGACCGCTTCCGAAGTGCAATAAGTGTAACTTCCATCACAAGGGAGCTTGCCCAGTGTGCCAAAACTGTAAACAAACAGGCCATTACTCGAAGTATTGTAAGCTGAATAAGGATGGAAAAAGGGCATGTTACGAGTGTGGGAACTGATCATCTCCGTAGAGCATGTTCCAAACTGAACAAGGGGCCTGATAACAATAGACAAGGCCAAGCCAAGAAAAACTTCCAAGGAAATCAAGGTGGGCGGCCAAGAGGTGTAGCCTTTGTGATTGGTGCAGAAGAAGCTCGTCAGAACCCTGAGGTGATAACAGGTACATTTCTCCTGAACAACCATTTTGCATCAGTAATATTCGATGTCGGAGCAGATAGGAGTTTTGTTTCTTTAGCATTTAGACCGTTAATTGACTTGAAATCGAAAAAGATGAGGAATGCTTATGCTATTGAACTTGCTGATGGGTATGAAATTAGGGCAAATGATATAATTCCTGGCTGTACTCTGAATTTAGTTGATAAACTCTTTAGCATTGACCTAATTCCTATAGAGCTAGGTAGTTTTGGTGTGATAGTAGGAATGGATTGGTTATCCAAAAATAGAGCGGGCATTGGTTGTTACAAGAAAGTCATTAGGGTACATCTCCCTAATGGAGAAACCCTTATCATACATGGTGAGAAGCCAGGAAGAAGTTTAAACATTATATCAAGCATAAAGATTCACAAGTACCTGAAGAAGAATTGTATTGCATTCATGGCCCACGTGCTAGAAAGAGAACCTGAAGCTAAGCAACTCAAGGAGATTCCGGTGGTTCAAAACTATTCGGATAGACTTAATTCCCAGAGCGGCACCGGTAGCAAAAGCACCATATCACCTTGCACCATCCGAGATGCAAGAACTATCCGAACAACTTCAAGAACTTCTAGACAAAGGGTTTATTCGACCAAGCTCTTCACCTTGGGGAGCCCCAGTGTTATTCGTCAAATAGAAAGACAGGTTGTTCCGAATGTGCATTGATTACAGAGAACTGAACAAGTTGACAATCAAGAATTGATATCCCCTTCCTCGAATAGATGACTTGTTCGATCAGTTGCAGGGCGCTTCCTACTTCTCAAAGATCGACCTTCGGTCAGGGTATCATCAACTAAGAATCCACGAAGGGGACATTCACAAAACATCATTTAGAACCCGTTATGGACATTATGAGTTCTTAGTCATGCCTTTTGGACCAACGAACGCACCCGCTGTTTTCATGGATTTGATGAATAGGGTCTGTAGACCATACCTAGACAAGTTTGTGATTGTATTTATTGATGACATACTTGTTTACTCTCAAACCAAAGAATATCACAATAGACATCTGAAGCTAGTGTTGGAGCTGTTGAAGGAGCATAAGATGTATGCCAAGTTCACTAAGTGTGAAATTTGGATTCGGGAAGTACATTTCATTGGTCATGTGATCGGCGAAAGAGGAATTCATGTAGATCCAGCTAAGATTGAGGCAATCAAGAAATGGGAAGCCCCCAAAACCCCGACATAAATACGATAATTCCTAGGATTAGGTGGGTACTACAGATGCTTCATTAAAAATTTCTCTAGGATTGCTCAACCATTAACATCTTTGACCCAAAAGGATAGAAAATTTCTTTGGGAAGAGAAACACGAAGAGGCGTTCCAAATCCGAAAAACAAGTTGTGCAATGCACCAATTCCGCCAATCTTTATCCATTTCTCCATTTTGTCACCTTCAAGCTCTGAATTAGGGTTTACTTTGGCGATAATTTCAATTTCTCTTACAACAAACATCCCAGCTCTTCAACCCTAAATCCACCACTGCTACTCCGCCTTCTTTCTCCGGGCTCCGCCGCTCTTCGAAGATCGAATCGGCTTCACTCTCCACAACTCAATCGTTCTTAAAAAAAATTCAATTCTCAGATACATCTCTCCTCTTATTCTACACGACCTTACACCGACAAATTGACCAATCGCCATGGACAGTACTGAGAAGGTCTACACATGCTTTTTCATCTTATTCTAGATCTCGCCTACGATTGAGTGTTCCCAGTCCTGCTCCACCTCTGGTTTACCCAACTCCATCGATCTACTTCCGGTTCCCCTTTCTTTCTCTCTCCATCTCTCTCTCTCTCTCTCTCTCTCTCTCTCCTATATATACATATACATACTGCATGACATCCAGGAGGTGATTGAGGGTTCTATATACATCTCTCTCTCTCTCTCTCTCTGTATATATATATATATATATATATATATATATATATATATATATATATATATATATATACCATTTCAAAGTCATCTTATGGAGCTTCAGATCTTAGAAGGTTTACAGTGGAAGGTACAACCAGTGACATCCAGGTTCGTGTAATGGTGATCTGTAAAATGATTGTTTGATTTTGTACTGTTAATTACAAAAATGAAATTCTTTAGTTTGGACACAATTTAATAAGAATATTTAACTGACAAGTAATATGCCAAATTAGAGAAAACGTTTAGAATAATAAGCCTACCGATACTTTGTAACGCTTAGCAATGACATTGAGATAATTTTGGATTAGAAATGAAAACGTGAACATAATGATCTAACAAATGTATATAAATAATTTAACCATGTAGCTCTGAAAGTGCTTTCCGTTTACTTTGAACCTTGTTCTTGACTTTTGTAGGTTGGTGGAGTTACCCCAAAGAAGGGTGGAACAGAGCATTTAGGGCTCCCTATTTTCAACTCAGTTGCAGATGAAAAATCTGAAACCAAGGCTAATGCATCTGTAATTTATGTGCCTCCACCATTTGTTGCAGCAACAATCATGGAAGCATTAGAGGTTGAACTGGAGTTGATTGTTTGCATTACAGAAGCAATTCCACAACATGACATGGTAACCTGCATTTCTCTTCAATATGTTGGTTACTTGTGATTTCAATGTAAGAATGTTATTCACTGTCTGTCACTTGTAATCAATCTTATGCATACATGTTCGTGTAAAGGCTGCTCTTATTAAGCAGTCAAAAACTCGACTGATTGGACCAAATTTCCCTGGTATCATTAAGCTTGAAGAATGCAAGACCAGAATCATGCCTGGTTACATTCATAAAACAGGGTGTATTGGTATTGTATCTCGATCTGGCACACTAACTTATGAAGCGGTAAGATATTCTTCATTTTTTCTTAACTTATTATATGATCGGTTTAAGAATAATTGCTTATTTTGAATTTGGAAAACATTATGATTCTATGCAGCAATTTGAATGATTTGTTTATTCATTTTGTTACAGGTATACCAAACTACTACTGTAGGGCTAGGTCAATCCGCACGTGTAGGTATTGGTGAGGATCCTTTTAACAAGATCAACTTTGCTGATTGCATGAGAAAATTCGTTGATGACCCTCAGACAGAAGGTAACTCAAGTTTTCAAATGAATTTGAATTTTGGTTAGGCTTTTTAAATTTGGGTAATTGCATCTCATTTTGATGTGTGAATAGTTAGTGAGTTTCCAACATGAATATCATAAGAAATTTTGTTACTTAGTTTTTTAAGTTTTTTGATAACTTAAAATGGTTATTCTGTTAGGGTTGCTTTAAAGCACAAGTGTATGGCTATGTTAATTTATTGTTGAGATTTAAATGCAATATTTTCCAAATATGAATTAATGTTCTGTTTAACTTAACTTCAACGTTAGCAGTCTTTAGTTTTTCCATGTCTATTCCAAAAGTATGATTTTTATAAAAAAAAGTTGAATTTTTCTTTTATCAATTCTATGTTTTGGGACTAGTCCTTTTGACCCCCAAAGTGTTTTGAAAGATTGTGCAGCTTGAGGTTGAGTTGAGAAGAGAACGTCATGAGGGAGATCTCAAGGAGAAGTATAGACTTGCTCGTGTTATGGAACATAAGGTATGTAATGTATTTTTTGAATATTAACATTTTTTATTATTATTTGGAAGATCAATGCTTCACAAAAAATCCAAAGTGGAATTTACCACCTTGGTGTAGTTGGAGCAATTGTATCATGGAATTATCCATTTCATAACTTGTTTAATCTAGTTTTAGCTGCTATCTTCTCTGGGAATGGCATAGTTGTCAAGGTATTTAATTCAGTTTTAGCTGCTGTCTTCTCTGGGATTGGCATAGTTGTCAAGGTATTTAATTCTTGAGTAATTTACATTACACCCCCTGGAGTATAGCTGTTTTTGCAGTCTTGGTCCAAAAATGTTTTCTCTTGCAAATTGGTCATCATTTGTGGTCTTGTAACAGTTTTGGTCCTTGTTCCAAGTAAAATAACTATTTTGGTCCCAGAGTATAACTGATTTTTGCAATATTGGTCCAAACTATAGTCATTTTCTTGAAATAGAAATGAACAACCTCAAATAAGGGACTAAAATTGCAAAATCAGCTATACTCAAGGACCAAAAATGCAATTTACTCTTCCTTATTGGTATTTCAGGTTTCAGAACATGCAAGCTGGTCTGGATGCTTCTACGTGCAAATTCTCCAAACTGCCCTTGCAGCTGTTAGAGCTCCTGAAAATCTTGTTGAAGTCATAACTAGGTAAGCCAAGCCCTTTTTAGTCATTTCAATATTTTTTTTTAATTTTATCAGGTCCCTTAAACTTTGAATTTTCCAGGTTTTCTGAGACTGGAGAAGCATTAGTCTCCTCAGTTGACAAAATTATATTTGTCGGCTCTCCAGGTGTTGGCAGAATGGTATGATTTTCCGTTTTCCATCTCATGACTGGAAGATAACATAAAGGGTATTAACGTAATTTCACATTACATTTTTTTTATAAAACCAGATAATGAGAAAAGCCGCTGACACATTCATACCCGTGACACTTGAGCTTGGTGGAAAAGATCCGTTTATTGTCTGTGAAGACGTCGATGTGGCACATGTAAGAATCTTTGAATTTCGGTCAAATTCAAATAACAATTTTGACTTTTCCATCTTTTGTTTACTCCAAATTGTGAGAAATAGTAATGAATATACATTTTCTACAAATAATAGCAAATATGTAATCCATAATAGCAACTTAAATTTTCTCTATAAAAATTAGCAACCTTCTTAAATCTTTTTTTACCAATAACAGCAATATATAACAAATAAAGTACATTGCCTATATTTGTAAAAAAAAAGTTAAAGTACATTGCTATTTTGAGCAAAGAAGCCATTTTTAATAGAATCTTCAAACTCAATACAAGTTGCACAAGTTGCTGTTAGGGCTTCTTTACAATCTAGTGTACAAAACTGTGCAGGAGCTGAAAGACTTTATGTCCACAAAGACATATACGCTTCATTTGTAGCTGCGGTTGTCAAGATTGTTAAATCTGTCTCAGCTGTAAGTAACTAATTAGAATTACAGTTCTACCCTTTTGATTATATATAATTTGCAACATATTATTTTTTTTAATTAATTAAATAAATATTCTAGGGTCCTCCACAACTTGGAAAATACGACATGGATGCGATTTATGAGTGATATGTGCATAATTAGTTAATTATTTAGCACATATTCTTAATCATTTTTAATTAATTATGTGAACAATGTGGACAAAAGGTACTTAAAATGGTTTGAATTTTGTTTTCAGTCCGGAAGACATGCTTAGAAGTAAAAGGGAGCAAGGAAAGCAATTGAAGACCAAAGAATGAAAATAAGAGACAAAAGACCATCTACTCGGCGAGTAGACAACTCTACTCGGCGAGTACACAAGGATGTTCCAGAAGATAGCTACGAGTCCTGATTCAATACGGATAACTATGTACCTACTCGGCGAGTTGGTCCTGCTACTCGCCGAGTACACCCTGTTTTGAGATATCTATAAAAACCAAGTCTTTATCCAATGGGGCAACATTACTGGAGATTTTTGAAGGTTAAGCTGCGACTAAGAGCCCTAGAAGACGCTGAGGAACCCTAAGCTTCAATCTTTTGAAGAATTCAAGCAACTAGGTTAATCCTACCACTTAGATTTAGGAATTGAATATGTTTGATCTAGTAAAACTTGTTTTTATGTTTGTTTCTACTGCAACTATGAACTAAATTCGTTTTTGTTTCTGTTTGGGGAATACCAAGGAACTCCTATGGTTTAATTATTAGTTTTTGTTTGATTGTTTATTGGTGATCTATTAAATTAAGTTTGTTAAAAGAACCTTATGCATTAATCACTACTGTCTTCTATTAATTGGAAGACAATTAGGCTGCATGAACATCTCCTAGTTGTTAACCTCATATGTCTATATGAACACTAAACCATATGCTTAGAAGTAATGATTATGAAACTAAGATTAATAAGACAATAAGAAGATTAATGTGTGAGCTTGTTCGAGAAACCATCAAACAAGAGGTTAATTGAATTAGTAACTTAATTGACCACTACAAATCTTATTTAATGCAAATCATTAATCTAGGAAATTAATTTGTTTAAACACTTGATCACCGCTTAAATTAGTTAATTGTCTAAGGGTTAGGAGTAATGAACATGAACCTAACCATTATAATTGGTAACAAATAGCAATTAATCTATCATAAATACAAATAACCATAGGAGTGAATTGGTTGAATCTAAATAGAAACATCTTTATCAAATTTGGTGAATTAGTTGTTTCTTTAGTTATTTAGTTAATTTAGTGTACCTAAGTTTCTAGTCTTGCAAAACTAGAAGAAACCCCTTTTACTTTTATTAGTTGTTTCAGTTAAAATTAGTTATTAGTTTAATTTTCCGTACCCTGAGTTCGATACCTTACTAATCTATACCACTAAAAGACAGGTTCACTGCCTTTGTGTGCTAAATTTATTAATAATAAGTAGGGATAAAACAAGTGCATTTTACACACATCAATGAGGTACCTGTTGATCCATCGGTGAAAGTAGGATGCTGTAGTGTGGATGTCCTGAAACAACTTAGTATGGATGTAGTGTCACTTGGGATCAAGAATCGCATGAATAAACTAAAAAACCATCTACTGAGTCGACACAGGCATGTTTTCAAAATTCAAATAATATTTTTCTTTTTTCTTTTTTCTTAATTTAATATTTTTACGTTTGTGACAACAACTTTTATCCTCTGTACCCACCCATGGAAGACACTCCTGTGGACTTGTCGCTTGCTCCAGAAGCCCCTTCAAAATCGTCCGGAAATCCAGGTATTTCTCACTTCATATTGATACTGAAGTGAATTTACAACCCCTGTAAAAGCAAAAATATTTATGTTATGATCAAAATTGATCGGAGTCTTTTTAATGATGGATTGATAATAATCTTTCTAATTCAGTCACTGCTGCATTGGATAAACAAGAATTTAAGTGTTTTTCTAGCTATGTTAACTGATTACGTTGTGTGTAGATGTAAATTAGGTTTTATGATCGAATTTTGCATTTTGAGTTTTAAAGTTAATTGCTTACGATAAATACCTTGTGAAACTGCTGTAAAAACGAACCAGTACTAAACAAATTGGAGATTTGTTTTTTATAATCCAAAATCACATAAAAGAATTGCAAAACACATCTGATCACCTGCACAGATTGAGTGTAAAGATGAAGGATTATGACTTTAGTTGTGCTTGTTCAAATGCTTTCAGATGAAATTGCAAAACTTTTCCCATCCCTGTTTGGGCAACCATCAACAATATTAGTGCTAGGTGACTCTAATGAATCAGGATCTGCCTTGAAGATAGGAGTTGTGTTGTCAGGAGGACAAGCACCAGGAGGGCATAATGTTATATATCTGGGATTTTTGGTTAGGATTTTGAACTGCTGTCACACCCCGAAAACCGAAGGCGGAAACATTTCCAGGGTTGACTCCACGTTGAGTATCAAATCTAATGCACATAGTAAGTAAAGTAAAACAACCACTACATTACATAAGAAGAGTTTTACAGTTGTTTCAAAAGTAAAGTTTGTACAGTTGTGATACATAGTATACATAAACAAAATGAAACGGGTCTTCATGTACTCTGTATTCTGACCAAAAAGGAATCTTCGGGTACCTGTTCTAACGTTGACCTGAGAACACAAGCGGTTTGAAAATCAGCATAAAGCTGGTGAGTTCATAAGCGGTTTTTGTTTGTGAAAATGTTTCTAGTTTCCTTTCTGTTTCTGAAATGTTATGTATACCAAGAAAATCCCGTATTTTCTTAAAAGTTGGTTATTGTTTCACAAATGTAAAGTATAGTAAATTTGTGCACCAAAAACATGTCTGCTACTATGAAAATGTATAGTTTGGTTATCCGACTTGTTAAACTGTTCTGTTTACTTATCATTGTATTCCCAGGAAAATCCCATACTTTCCTTATTGTATATTATCATTTGTAAAAGATGTAATGTTATCCAGTTTGTTACTCTTTCTAATTATGTAAGTATTACCCAGGAAAGCCCCATGCTTTCCTGCTTATTGGTTTTCAATGTGAATGATGTAAAAGATGTAAAAGATGCATACAGTGATTTATTATTACTATAAGTAAATCTCTGTTATCCTAATTGCTAGTTCCATAACCATACGATAGACTAAACCTGTGGCAATAAGTAGTCCACATACTTATGACTTTCGTCACCCTTGAACCATTTCGGTTCGGATGTAGCTAGCAGCCAGGTGTGGGGTAGTCAGCCCCGTATAGATCTATACACTCAAGTCACGCTCTCTAAATACCAGAGATTCTGGTTACGGGTGTAGTCCTCCACTCACGTATCTCTGTGGAGTGTTCGCCGAGGACGTGTCTCCAATCATACAAGATAAATAAATTTACTAGTAATAATGTGATAGTCCTCCACTCGCATATATGTGTGGAGTATTACCGAGGACAAAACAGTGTACATATATTATTCAAATGTTTAATGTTATGCTTTTAACTGATAAAATATGGAAAGCCATTTGTGAAATATATGAAAAACATAACAGTTTAAAGATCTATTTCACAAATATATGTTATGTGATCAGCATGTTCAAATGGTTATCAGTTGTAGTAATCAGTATTAAATGCATATGAAATATGAAACACACATTTGAAAACATGTTTTGAGTACAAGAATTCCCTTGTACTTTGCTTGTGTTCCCCCCCTGAAACAGTGAAAACAGTGAAAAAGGGTAGGGGTATGAACTCACCGGACTCGGAAATGCGTCGGTTTTGGATACTAAACGTTGGTTCGGGGTTTGATTAGTCGCGATGTCCCTATGTAAAATGAAATAATATCCATATTTATACAATTAGGGATACATTCACTAATCATATGGAACATTACACTCCAACGAGGTTAAACACCTCAAAACGAGTGTTTGGAGTGACCCGGGTGACATCTTCGGACGTGTAATGGCACTAGGGACTTGGGACATGAGTTTACTCCCCAAGAGTAAACATTTTAAAGAGTTTATAGCCATATAACACACACATACATGAGTTTACGGCCGTAAACTCATGTGGGTGTGATTTTGAGTGTTTAATGGCTTAAATGGACATGGGGATTGTTGGAATGGATTTCTAAAATGCCTTTGAATTGTTTGAATGGAATTTATAACACTTAAAAGGGAGTTTACGGCCACACCATAAGAGTTTACGGCCGTAAACTCACCCATGGCCAAGATAAATTGATTTGAGCTACAAATGTAACAGCCCGAAATCTCAAGTATTGTTAAAATTATATTTTGGGGTGTTTTAAAGGGGGGACTTGGCGAGTTGGAGCCAGACTCGCCGAGTAGGATCGCAGACCTGGTCGCGGGTTCGCGACTGGACTCGACGAGTCAGATAGGGATTCGGCGAGTCTGCGCTGTTTAGCGAAAACCCTAGCCGTTCAGGTTTGGGACGTATAAAGAGGACTTATTGGCCGTCATTGTTCGTTTTAGCCTTCTGAGAGGAACCCTAAACCGATTGTGTGCATCTGGAGCAAGGCTAAAGGCCATTGGTGATTTTGAAAGAGTTGTTGTGCAAGGAAGAGAAGGGCTTGGCTAAAGGAACAGCAAGGGAATCACGTTCTGAGGTTTGGGGACACAGAGAGTGCATTATTCAGGTATGAATTCGGGTATACTCTGCTATGGTGATGTATTTAGAGGATTAGGGTTTATGGAACCCCTTTTTGTGGATAGATTGAATGTTACCCTAGTCCCCCAAACGATTGTAACACCGTGTTGGGACCCTTGGAGGTCCAGAATATCCCATGTCTGGGCATTTCAGGAATTGGTGAAGGTTTTGGATTGAAATCCTTATGCCTTAGGTCAACATGTAAATTATAAGTCTTGGAGTGTAGCATGAGCACCTAAATGAAGACCTTATGTAATGGATCAGTCTAGGAAGGCCAGACCTATGAATGGTCGGAGCAGTTCTGACCTTAGGGAGCAGTTTGAGCGGCTGCATGGCATGGACTCGCCGAGTCAGATGATCAGACTCGGCGAGTAGCTTGAAGAATAACTGGGACTCGTCGAGTTGTTCCTCAGACTCGGCGAGTGGAGTCGGGGTGGCCCCGCGATTCTTCCAGGAGTAACTCGTCGGGTCAAGGAGGATACTCGACGAGTAGAAGGGAAACCTTAGAGGATTGGAGGACGACTAGACTCGCCGAGTCGCCAGAGTACTCGCCGAGTCCGGTCGAGTTGACCGTGGACCGTTGACCAGAGTTGACCCATGTGTGATTTCTTAGGGTCAGTTAACGTGGAAGATAAAAGTATTAAT